CAGGTCCTTCACCAGGACGTACTGGAGCAGCCATGCAGGAGACAGACCTGACAGACAGACAGACAGAGAGAGAGAGGTTTATCCTGACTCCACACTGCTCGTGTTGTTCAAGGCCGATCCGTTCAGTACCTTTGTTGTCGTGCCACACGCGGATCTTCAGCACGCTGCCCAGGCTGCTGTCGGAGGCCATGTGGAAGATGTCCAGGCTGTTTCGAGCGAAAGCGCCGACGCTGTCCAGGTGTCTGTGTCCACTGCGGCTCTCACTGCCGTGAAGACTGATGCCGACGTGAGCCGTGGTTCCTGCAGCGGGAATAAAGAGCTCAGACTCCAGCCAGCTCACTCCAGACAACTGCCAGTCACTCATTGAGGGATATTCATCGCTCGAATGCATAAACCTGACAGTCTGTGGGTAACTGATCTGATGTAAACAAACAAGCCTCAGACACCACCAGGGTTATTATAGTTAACTAAAACCAAAACCATAAAAAAAAAACATTTTTCTTACTTGAAATAAAGGCAACTTAAATAAACTAAAACATTAAAAAACTATTTTTAATTATTTCAGTTAGTGGCCAAAGCAAGATTTCTCATTTTAATATAGTTTAACTTCATGTACTAAAATAACAAAACTAACTAAAAATGACAAAATAAATAAAAAATGATATAGACATATTAAAAAAAGGACAAAAACACAACACTAATATTTGATCTAAAATCGAAACGAAATGTAAAATACAAAAATAAAAACTAATTCAAATTATATATAAAAAAATAAAACTATAATAGTATTTTCATGATACTAAAATAACACATAACATTTAAAAAATGTTACTTGAAATAAAATGAACATTAATTGAAGAAGAAAAAAACCTAAAACGTATTTGAGTTAGAGGCCAAAGCAACGTTTCTCATTTGTGTACTATAACATGGTATAGTAAAATAAGTAAAACTAAAACGGAAATAAAAATGAACTAAAACTAAATAGACATATTTGAAAATGACAAAAACACACAACAAAATAGCTAAAACTTTAACTAAAATAAAAAATGGAAACTACAAAAATAAAAACGAATTGAAAATATATATAAAAAAGCCAACTAATAGTATTATTTAGGAATTTATCTAGGAATCTGCAATTTTAACCACACGCAAATTTCACTTATGTTAAATTTGGTGACATGAATTCATTGTGTTCATTGTGCTTCACATATCTACACTATTGATAATAGACAACTGCCCTTTTTTGGCCGTAAATTCTGGCACCTTCACAGACACCTGGATACAGTGAGGCAGAACTAGTCTCTTTAACATTTCGATCGGATGGTCTCTTTCAGTCTAAGTGGACGGTCAGACTTTCCTAACCTACTGATGATCTGCGAAACATCCGCATCTCACCTGCTCCGTAAGCCCAGCCGGTCTTGACCTGGATCTCGTACTTGTACAGCCTGTATATATTAAACTTCAGAAAAAAATACAAAAAATGTAAAGAATCTTTACTACTAAAATAGTATAATATAAAGATAAATGTTAATTTAAAATAAGATACATATAAAATAACAGAATAATCATATATATAGTAGTCAACATTTGAAGTGGTTAAAAAAAAGTTGATCAAAGTTGTCCTAAGACAAGAATGCATTTAGGTTTTAATCCACTTCAAATTTTGACTAGTGTATTTTAAGCTATTTTAAAGAATCATTACTACTACGTCTGGACAGAATTAAGGTTAAAGGGTTCTTCTTTCAGACGAATCCAATCGGAGTTATATAAAAAATTGTCCTGGCCCCTCCAAGCCTTTCAATGGGGGTAAGTGGGTGTTGGTTGTCAACAGTTCAGAAGACGTGAAATAAAGTGCGTGCATCCATAATAAAAGGTCCCTCACACGGCTCCGTGTCAGGATTCTGGACTGTCTATGTTCTGTTTTGCTCCTGTTTCTGTTCTAGTGTTCCCTTATTTGGTCTTGTTCCTGTCCTTGTTTAGTTTAATTAGTCATCCCGTACACCTGTGTCTTCCGAATTATCCTGTGTATTTAGCCCCAGTCTGTGTTTGTCGGTTCTTAACGTCATTGTACTACGTGTGTCTCCTGGCTACCCTGTGTTTCCTCCTGTGGATTATTAAAGACTGTTCAGTGTGAAATTCCTTGTTCCTCGCTCCTCACAGTAGGCAACCGTGACAGAAGAATCGACCTACAAACAGTAACCTCCATTTGTATACCCTCCGTTTTTATGTTTCCCG